GTGTTTTACCATAGTAAGAAGTTGTAAGGTGAGTCTTTAGAATCTTTATAGAGTGTAAAGTATAAGAGGACATCAGCTGTAATTTCAATAGCCCCTTAACTGCAGAAGCAAAGTCTTAGCTCATAAGGAACTTTTTTATATTACCCTTTCAAGACTGCTATGGGGAGGAGAATGTTGAAAAATATACCGGTGTAAGATTTCACAGCTGCTATCCATTAGGGTTCAGGGTTTGGTGACTATTTTATTTCATTAAATTATATTTAATTATTTAATTTATTAAATTACAATTTTTATTAAATAAAATTTGAAATATGAAACCTGATATTACCATTTCCTCATTCGGAAGAACACTAATTTGGCATGATACAATGCTCTTGTTGGGCAATGTTGGATTCCAGGGTTCCAGGAGAACAGATTTCCTGATATTTTACCAGCAACTATAGCTGACATCTTCAGAGGCAAAGATGCTGGCCACATTGCCAATGAAATGGCAGGCTCCCTTGGCAAGAGTCTATACATGAGACAATATGCGTTGAATGCTGCCATAGGCATGCTCATTATAGGAATTCCTTGATTTAACAACAGTTCAGTGATACTATCAAGTTACAATAGCACTGAAAAAAGTGACTTATGATTGTTTTTCACTCTTACGACCCCTATAGCATCTCCATGGACACGTGATCAACTCTGGGCAGGGGTGAAATCCAGCAGGTTCTGACAGGTTCTGAAGAACCGGTAGGGGAAATTTTGAGTAGTTTGGAGAACCGGCATATACCATCTCTGACTGGTCCCAGAGTGGGGTGGGAATGGAGATTTTGCAGTATCCTTCCCCTGGAGTGGGGTGGGAATGGGGATTTTGCAGTACCCTCCCGTGGAGTGGGGTGGGAATGGAGATTTTGCAGTATCCTTCCCCTGGAGTGGGGTGGGAATGGGGATTTTGCAGTATCCTTCCCCTGGAGTGCGGTGGGAATGGAGATATTGCAGTATCCTTCTCCTGGAATGGGGTGGGAATGGAGATATTGCAGTATCCTTCCTCTGCCATGCCCACAAAGCCACCCCACAGAACCGGTAGTAAAAAAATTTCACCACTGGTCCTGGGGCCATGTGATCACCTTTTCTGACAAGCAAAGTCAATGGGGAAGCCAGATTCACTTAACCGTGTTACAACTTAACCACTGCAGTGATACACTTAACAACTGTGCCAAGAAAGGTTGTAAAATGGGGCAAAAGTCACTTAACAAGTGTCTCACTTAGCAACAGAAATGTTGGGCTCAGTTGTGGTCATAAATCAAGGACTACCTGTACTGTCCACTTTCAAATCCCAGCCATTTTTTTCTAGTTTAAGAAAAGGGAGGCGTGGTATTGTCAACTAGGGAAATATGGTGTAAAATCTATATGAAGGTTTTATTCCTTCACTCGATATAACCTTTATTCGATTAATTATCATTAACGACGAAACAAGTTTTCAAGCGATCAAGAATTTTAAACCCACGAGCAGAATAGGCTAAAAAGCTGACCCCGACGTGATTCGAACACGCAGCCTTCTGATCTGGAGTCAGACGCGCTACCGTTGCGCCACGAGGTCCTGCGGATTTGCACCAGGCAAAGCTGTACAACTGCCTGAATGTGACTTCTTCGCGTTTCCAAAGCAAAGTTCTCTCGCGGTTTTGCAAGAGCAGAGCACCACGAAAAAGAGAATCTCGGTCAGTCTCACAATGAGACACGAACGTCTGTTCCGATATTCCGAATTTTCCCCGCAGGGGCTGGCTTCGAAAAGCAGGCAGGGTGAACCACTATGGAAGTCTTCTCCCTACTTTCGGCTCCTAACAAAACCACCTATTTTATTTACCTTTCTGTTCCTTTGCTGGGTTTCTTGAATTCAAGCAGCCTTTTAGGAAAGCGGTCACATTTCTACGCGCCGTCCATTTGCTTAGCAAGGTAGCAGACTTTTAACCCAGAGGTCCCCAAACTAGGCAGCTTTAAGACTTGTGGACTTCAACTCCCAGAATTCTCCAGCCAGTATAGCTCCAGCATAGCTGGCTGGAGAATTCTGGGAGTTGAAGTCCACAAGTCTTAAAGCTGCCTAGTTTGAAGACCTCTGTTTTAACCTAACAGTGCCTTTCCTTTCCCGAGCAGACGCCGCTCTGTGCGGCTTCGACTGCTAATGCGTTAGACTCTCCCTTTGTTTGACTCCAACTTCTGGTGGGGTTTCTAATTAAACGTGCCTGGAAAATGTACATAAAATTCGGCCAACTCAAATTACAGCACGACCTTTAAAAGCGATATGGGTGGGAGAAAAAAAAGGCGATGTTATCCACCTCCTCGTTAGTATAGTGGTAAGTATCCCCGCCTGTCACGCGGGAGACCGGGGTTCGATTCCCCGACGGGGAGAATGGAATTTTTTTGCTTCTATCAATTTACGAGCTGATTAGCCCCACTGCATGATTTTTAAATGCTTTTTGGCCAGTTAAAAGTGAGGGGACAACTTAAATTCAAGCCTCTTTTTTCATAGCCAGGGCTTACTATCGCTACTCTTTGTTTGCGTATTTTTACTTAGTAAAATTGCTTTTTGTGCCCATAGTGCTGCAATTGTCATGCAGATGTTAATCAAAATCTAGATAAATCTTCCCAATTTAGTATTTTCCAGATGTGTTGGATTTCAATTCCCAGTAAATCAGCAGCAGAATGTCTGACATCCTGGCTGGGGAATTCTAGGAGCTGAAGTCCACACACCTTAAAGTTCCCAAAATTGAGAAACCCTGATGTAATGACTGCTGTTTCCTTTACTGTCCGTTGTTGATCTTAAAAGGCAAACGCTACTCACTTCTCTTCCTTGACAAAACTCTTCCTTGTTAGTTCTAAGGCCAGTTGCTGTATTTGTTACTAATTACGTCTTCTTTACATTTGATCTTAGTTCCTTTTTTTTTCATTGTGTTTTTTGTGAGTTTTATTATGATATCCTTTTTCAACTATCATGATTTTATCAGTAGAGCATTTTATTGATGTTTATTCCTGCAATTCCAACACAGTGCTCATTTCCTGCCAGTCTAAGTTTCTTCAATATATATTGGGCACATGCTTTGAATAAATAGAGAATATATAGCTCTATCTCATACATTTGCTGATCTCTTTTAATATTTTCCATCCAGAATACAGCACCTTGTCCTATACAGATAGTCCTTGACTTATGATTGAAGTGTAGGAAGAAATATCCTTCTGGGTTCAGCTCCAAGTGGGGAAAAAGACACTGGAAACATGGAGACTGCTTGGAAAGATGGTTTAATGGTGGAGAGGATCACATGGTTTGAGTTCCTGAACAGAAAAGAGGGCAGAGATACAGTGAGTCCCTGGGTTTTATGCTCTCTCTGGCTTTGAACTTCCTGGGGCCCTGAAAGAGTATCCTGATTGGTTGTCAGACTCCCAGGGGGTGGGGGTCTTAGCTAGCCTTGCTGGCTGATGTAATTTTCCCAAGTGCCATGTGGTGAGTTCTTTTTAATATTTCCTAAAATATTTCATTCTTCCAGGAAAGGGGTGGGTGCTAACTTCCTACAGAAGTTATGACAGTCCTTCCCAAAAGCTAGTTATTATTGTTATGGAATGATGAGACCAAACAACATTCCTGGTCAGCCAGAGACAGTTTATTGCGCAGTTTCAGAATCAGATTTGTATCTGCAATTCTGAACCAAGAAGAGGTCTGATACAACTGCTTTTATACATATCTAAGATAAAGGATTTTGTGAGCACAGCAGTTTTCCATATATGGTTAACATACATTTGTTACATGATAATTGATACTTTCTAAATTACTAAATTCCTACATTATTTTCTAGTTCATAAGATTATTTTAGCTAAACAACCTTCCTCAGTTCTGTGATTGCTGATGCGTAGATTCATGGCTGCTTTGGATAATAAGTAACTTTTGTTTCATATGGATGTCCTTGCATTCTTGACAACTAGGTCCCTCAGAAGATATATATTATCAAGAATGAAATTTAGCTGATTTAGTGTAATCTCTAAGCAAGCACATTTCTTTCTTATAATAATGTGAATAAAGAGGGTCCTTCAGTGTTCATATAGCTGACCCTGTACTATTCCTACATCATTCACATTATTATGGCCTTACATACGTTATGGCCTCTGTCTTGCTCCTGTGCTTGTTCACCCTTCTGACCAACTACAGGAATTCTGCAGTGCCCCCCCTCCCCAATCTCCTTCCTCCATCCCACCAAGTGCCCGCAGACCTTTGGCCTGTTCCCAACCCAGCCAGTCAGCCAGCTCCAGGACCCAGCAGCACCTTTGTATGCAGGGACCTTTTTAAAGGGGTTCCCTTTTTAAGGAGACTCCAGAATCACACATGGTTGCCATGAGGCAGCCTCTGTAGGAAAGCTGAACATCATATAACATTGCATCAAGTGGGAATCTCTCTGCAAAACACAGAAATATAAGTTGCTGGGCTGTGGATGTGACTAAGGAGCAGGCAGAGTCCTTCAAATCCCTGGTTGGTTTCTGCTGCTGACTTTAGGCTTCCTTGAATGGCTGGGTGGATGGGTGGGAAACAAACCACGGCCTACGGGGACCCGATGAGGGAGAGACCAGGCTCAAGGCTGCTTCCCCTGAGGGGTGGGAAGCAGAACATGGAGTGTCTCGGGGTTGTGGGAGGCCTTGGGAAGCCTAGGGCAGACCAGCGTGGGCCTGCGCTAGGCCTCTCAGGGTCTTCCCCAACCACTGAAGCACGCTTTATGACCTGTGCCATTGTTTAATGATCACATCATTAATCTCACTTAATAACAAGTATGACTTGCAACTATAACGGGCAAACTCCATTACTGTAACTTTAGGGCTATCTATATATAACATTTGCATGAGGACAATGAGATGTTCTGGGATTCTCATTTTCCATAATTTGACATGAATGATATAGTCAAAGGCCTTTATGTAGTCAATGAAGAACACATGGAGTTCTTTTTGGTATTCTGTGGCTGTCTCTATGTTGCTAGTTTGGTTATCCTGGTTAGGCCCATATATAAGAGACTGTAAGCTTTTTTGTAATAGTAATATTTATTTCTTTTCTTTCTCAGGAACACAATTAGACAAGCACTAATCTGGGAGGAGCAAGAACTTATATACAGAGAAGGCGGGGCTAATGGTAAGTACTAACCAATGGTAAGTGACACAATGACATCACACAATGACATATAAACAAGCACACATATTTACAGATATCAGGTTAGGTATTTTCATCTGTAACAAATCCCCCTCTAAAATACCTAACTAATGGTGAGTTATTAAGATTATATATGCACATCAAGTTTGGAAGTCAAATACATATGTTGTTTGGTTGGCAATGGCTTAGTGAGGATATCAGCAATTTGTTCACTAGTATTGCAATGGATAGCTTTAATAAATCCTATACTTGACAGTTGTCTTACATGTTTATATTTTATATCGATATGTCGAGATCGTTGACCTATTGCTTCGGAAGCTGATATATCAATTGCTGCCTTATTGTCCTCATTGATAATAATTGGATAAACAGGTTCATCCCACACATTGGTTAACAAGTCATCGAACCAAGTTAGATTGTTGACCGCTTTGGATAAACAAACATATTCGGCTTCCGCTGTGGAAGTGGCAATTAAATTCTGTTTGCCTGTGTACCAGTGCACCGCACAGCCATTTATAAGAAAAACATATCCAGAAGTACTTTTTCTGGTTTTTGAATCAGTAGCCCAATCAGCATCAGCGTAGCAGGTCAAAGTTGGTTTTTCAGAAATGAATGGTTCTAAGAATAAGCACATATCAATGCTAGACTTTAGATATTTTAGAATCCTCTTAATTCCTTCCCAGTGGTATGAGTTAGGATTGCTTACATGTCTTGACAACAAATTTACAGCAAGGGTGATATCAGGCCTGGTCCAATTAGATATGTATAATAAGGACCCAATAATTGATCGATATAACGTGTTATCCTTGAATGGTTCGTACTCATTATACACATTCCTATAAAAATCAGTTGACATAGGAGTATCACAAATTTTTGAATTAATTAAGTTACATTTTTGTATGAGTTCCATAATCTTGTCTTTCTGAGATAATTTGAACCCCTTATCTGTTTTGTCAATTTGGACTCCTAGATACTTATTTACCTTTCCTAATATTTTTAAGTTGAAATTTTTGCCTAGTTGTTCAGCGAAATTATCACATTTAATTTTGTCGTGTCCAAAATACAATATATCATCAACATAAATCAAAACATATTCAATAGAATCATTATTTTTTTTTTGTGAAAAAACAAAAATCAGATGAAGTAGCTACAAAACCCATATTTTTAAGTATCTTTGATAAGCACTCATACCACCGCTTACCGGACTGTTTTAGTCCATAAAGGCTCTTGTTTAATAGCCAAATTTCTCCCTTTTTTGTATCCTTTCCTGGGGGTGCTTTCACATAAATTTCTTTATCTAGATCAGCGTGCAGATAGGCTGTCTGCACGTCAAATTGATATACTTCCAGATTTAAGATAGAAGCTAACACTAGTGCTGTTTTCACGCTTTCTGATCTAACGGTTGGGGAGTAAGTGTCTTCATAGTCATCCGGAAATCTTTGGGCAAAGCCTTGAGCCACCAACCTGGCTTTGTATAGGAATTTACCATCCTCTAGCTCCTTGATTTTATAGATCCACCTAGTGCCAATAGGGGATTTCTCAGTGGGCAGGTCTGTTGGTGTATATACATTTAGTTCTCTCAAACTGTCCATCTCTTTTTTCATTGCTTCCTCCCACTTACTTTTTTCTTCTAGGGGTAGCTTAAGTATGTCATCATATCTGTTAGGAGTCAGGTGTTTAGCTTGGATAGACAGTACGTAATCATCTAATCTTTTAGGAATTATGCCCCTATTGGATCTAATGGGCCTATTCTGGGGATGTTCATCGCTATGCATATACTTAGCTTCTTTTTCGGTTAATTGATCTACTTTCAAAGTGGGGTGTCCTTTTTTCCATTCATCATTAACTATTACTGGGCATTTGATTCTGTTAGTAGATGTGGATTTGGGGTTCGTATCTGATGTGTGATGTTTTGCGTGCGTGTGTGTAATATTTTTTGATTCTGGGTAAATTTCATTGAGATGTAATTTTGACCAGTTCATGTGTTCATGAAACACGGCAGATCTGGATACAATGAAGTGATTATTTTTATCAATGAAGCGATATCCCTTGGTTCCTGATTCGTACCCCATAAATATCAGTCTTTTGGATACTTTCTCTCCTTTGCGCCTTAACTGTGAGGGCACATATACATCAGCAGATACACCAAATACGTGTAAATGCCCAATTTTTGGTTTCCTTCCATACATGAGTTCGTATGGGGTCTTATTGATTGTACTGGACCATAAGCGATTTATAGTGTAATTGGAATAATTAAGGGCTTCAGCCCAGAATGACTGGTTTAAACCAGCATCATCTAACACACATTTAACCATGGTTTGTAGCAAACCATTCTTCCTTTCAGAGACTCCATTTTGGAATGGGGAAAATGGACAAGATTTAAAGTGCAATATTCCTTGTGATTTTAGCCAAGTTGAAAATTCGTTGGATAGGAATTCCGACCCCCTGTCAGTCATTATTTGTTTGATTTTGGTATTGTGTTGTGTTTCTACCATTTTAAAGAACTCCTTAAATTTTTTGAAAACCTCACTTTTGTGGTTAAGGGTGTATACAAAACCAAATCTACTATAGTCATCGACTATGGTCAGGAAGTATCTTTTTTTGTATTTAATTGAAGGTTTTAATGGGCCTACTACATCCATATGAATTAGTTGAAAGGTTGATTGTGTGGTGCGAGTGGCTTTTTTGGGTTTTGGCTTGTTTTTAATTTTGGAAGAATTGCATACAGAGCATTCTAAGTAATTTTTACAGTTCTTTATTTTTAAATCTTCGGAACACTCTAACATTTTTCGTATGACTGGAAAGCTCGCGTGTCCTAGCTTTCTGTGGAGTAAGTGACTACAATTATCGTGAATAGGTTTTCCATTGTTTAAATTTTCAGACATATTAGTATCAGTGTTTGATGCATTCTTATCATTATTTTCATCATGGCTATCTGAATTTGGTTTTTCGTTTCTTAATTGATAGTTTGCATAGACTAGTTCGTTATCTTGTGGCAGTAGGTATGTTAGTCCATCATTTGTAAATAGTTTACCTATGTTTCTGTTGTTCTTAGTCATGAATACCTTTCCACCTCTGAAAGTGGTTTCTATTGCATTGTCTATGCTTAACTTTAGGGTTGCCAATATGTTATTTGGAATTTCGGGCACAAATAGTACCCCCTCTATTTTTCCTATACCTTTTATATGCGTGTCTCCTATTCCTCTCACTAGGACTCTGTTTTGGTTTGCTACTTTAATATAATATTTCTTTTCAGTGAAGTTACTTAATATTTCTCTATTATGAGTTGTATGGCATGTGGCTCCTGAATCTATGAGCCAGGTGTTGAGTGAATCAGATATCAAAGTGTTATTATTTCTTATTCCATATAGTGATCCTTTCTTATTTTTTCTAGGGTTATTTCTGTATGTTTGTCTTTCTCTAGAGTGTGGTGATTCTCTTCTCTTATACCTGTAATCTGGGGAGGTTCTGTCTAAAAAGTGTATTCTTCTATCCTTGTGTTTATATGAGTCACTGTATCCTATATTCTTGGGGCAGTCTCTACTCTGATGTCTTTCAGATCCACATGTGAGACATTCATGTGGGTATCTGTCTCTGGCCCTGAAATCAGTCCTTCTTTGATTTCTACCTTCTCTTTGTTGTGTATATCGCTCTCTTCTAAGTCTATCTTCAGTAATAAGCTTATTGGTAAGGTTTTCTAAAGTAATTTGCTCTATACTTAGGTTATCTATTAGTGTAATGTAGTTATCCCAGCTGTGATCTAGTGAGTTAATTATAATGCTTTTCATGGTGTTGTCAGAAATGGTTTCTCCCCTTTGAATAAGGTCTGCTCTTACAGCGTTTAAATTCAAGATATGCTCACTCATGGATGTATCATGTTTTAGTTTGGCAGAATAGAATTCCCTAGAGATTTTTGTGGTAGTGGCTACATTTTTGCTATAGAACAGTCTGAATAATTTTTGATATACTTCAAATACAGTTAAATTATGCTCTATACTGGGGAGTATACTTGGGGAAATAGAAACAATTAACATATAGTATGCTTTGTGGTGGAGGCAGTCTATTTCATAGGTCCAAGGCTTATTTGGTGGGTTATCAATAAAAAATAAAACATTTTCTTTCATATATACAATCTGTAAACACTGATCCCATTCCATTAAGTTGCTTCCATCTAATTTCAATTTTATAAAGTCTGGAGGTATTGTCCCTGAGTGTAGTGAGGTGTTATTCATGTTTAGTAGCTGTCCATGATTTAAGACCTTAGCATACTCACAATAAGGCCTGGGTATGGTAGATGTATGTCTGTATTTACTTATCTCTATGTTGCGCTGACTTGTATTTATGTTTCCTTCTTCTTTCTTTGCAGGCTCGTTCTGGGCATGCTCAGTCCTCATTTTTCTCCAGCAGTCGATGAGGGAGGTTCCTGTGTCTGCAGCTCCTGGGGTGAAGTCCCAGATGGCCTTCTGTTGCTCTGCTTTGTTTCCGGAGGGCCTCTGGTGACTGAAGAATGCCTGGGGTGCTGCTCTGCTCATCGGGGAGTCTTCTCTGAGGTCGTCAGTAAGTGGAGCTTGAGGCGGGCCGCCATTGCCAATGGAGCCGGGTTGTTCAGGGAGCTGCTCTTCAGTAGGTAAGTATGATTGCCAGCTTGTCTTTCTTCGGGTGGCTAGGCCTTTCTTTAGACAGTCTATTTCTTTTTGGCCTTTGGTAGATGGTAGTTTAGAATTTTCTATTTCATTTTCTGGTTGTTTGTTTGGTATTGTTAGTTTAGTCCCGAGTGCTGCAGTTAGCACCTGTATAGCATTGTCTATTTCTACTTCAGTAGGTTGAGCTTTGTTTTGTTTAAATAATTGTTTTTTATTTGTTTTTGGACTCGGGTAATCATCTTCTTGGTAGGTTTTGTTTTTTATTTCGTAGTTTGAGGTTTGGAATTCTTTTAGTAATTGGTCAGGCATTTTAGAGGTATTAGGTGGGTAAGATGGCTGCCATGAAAAAGGCGGGAAGCTGTCGCCATCTTTGGTGTCATTTTTGAAGTCAGGGGTTGAATTTCTTACCTTGCAGTTTTCTTGTTTGTTATTTTCGTTATCTGCTGCTGTTCCGTGGTCGTTTATTATGCTGCGGATTTTCACAAGCAGATTTGATTCAGCTGTAGTTGTTTCTATTAATTCTAGTATTTTTCTTTTTACCTCATCTTCTTTGTTTGGTGTTAGCAGTTCATTTTCTTGTAATTGCGTTTGTTTCTTAATATTTTCAAGTGGTGTATATTTGTCAGGAGTTAGTTGAGCTGCCATTCTTTTCGTTATGTATCTGGTGGCAGGTCTTCTTTTGTCGTTATGTGAGTCTTGCATCTTTATGTTCGGTTGGGCCTAACCAGGATAACCAAACTAGCAACAAATTGGTAGCAAGAGGATGGTTTGGTAGGCCCAAATATAAGAGACTGTAAGCTTTTTTGTAATAGTAATATTTATTTCTTTTCTTTCTCAGGAACACAATTAGACAAGCACTAATCTGGGAGGAGCAAGAACTTATATACAGAGAAGGCGGGGCTAATGGTAAGTACTAACCAATGGTAAGTGACACAATGACATCACACAATGACATATAAACAAGCACACATATTTACAGATATCAGGTTAGGTATTTTCATCTGTAACACTCTATTTTTCAGCATGCATCAGTACTAATATCTTTTGTTTCTTAGTCTTCATGAAAAGCAGTTCAAGCATTTGGTCATTTCCTTTTCCATCTAGAGCTCTAAACTATATTGGATGATTCTGAGCATTATTTTGCTACAGTATGAAATTAAGGATATTGTACAGTAGTTTGCACAATCTTTTAAGTCTCTTTTCTTTGGCATTGATATGTAGACTGATACGTTTCAGGCCATTGTGTTATTGTCCAAACTCCTTAACTGATTTTTCTTCTGTTCCTTGCAAGATTTTTGTATGTATTCCATCAATTTAGTCTTTGGACTTGACCACAGCATTGATCTAACTTCCTCTTGCAGCAATAGAGCCTCTTTCAGGTAGGGAATATTTTCTAAGTTACCTTGGATATTACCATCTCTGCTATATAGAATTTAAGTATATTCCTTCCATTTTTGTTAGAACTTCTTTGAATCAGTTACTGTCTGGCTTTTGACATCCTTGAGTGTACCAGTTCAAGGTTGGAACTTTCTTTTGAGTTTGGAGATATTTTAGAAACCTTCCTTTGTTTTTCTGTGTCTCTTTCAATCTTCCTTTTATAGATATCGTTTTAATATCGTTCCTTGTCTTTTCTAACACCTTTCTGAAATTCTTTGTTAAATTCCTTCATGACAGCTTTATTTTTTCTTGGCTTTAATTTCTATCTTCATGGAAGTTTCAATTCTCTGTTCTAACATCCAGCTTACTTTCTTGGTCTTTTGCAGTCTCTTTCACATTTATCCTTAACTACTTCTTTGTTTCCATTTCACAGTTGTTTTGGTTCTCTATTAATGAGGTTTAGGGCTTCAAAGTAATTCATCATGTTATCCTCAAAAATGGTAGGTCTATGTTTAAGATCATGTTGTAACTTGTTTACTTTGTTCTTCTGCTTTAGCTTGACTTGGAACCTGCATATAAGCAGTCAATAATCTGTTCCACAAACAGCTCCTGGCCATGCCTGTGCTGATCTCTTTCATCTCTGATCTCTTTCATCTCCTTGTACTAATAATATAGTCAATATGATTCCACAGGGGTCCATCTAATAATGTCCACATAGATAGGGATTATTTTTGTTGTTTGAAGAATGTGTTAGCAATGAAGAAATAACCGGACTGGCAAAAACTGATAAGTTCTCATGCTTTCTGTTTCTTAAGGAATACAATTCAACTATGCTTTCCTGCTTAATATTGCCAACTTTGGCATTCCATTCTCTAAACAGAAACAGCATATCAAGCTTGCATGTTTTGTTGATTTCAGATTGTAAATGAGTGTTAAACTTGTCAATCTCCTTCCTCTTCATCATCAATGGCTGGGTGTAAACCTGAATAACCATTATATTAAAGGGTTGTCCATAAAGTCTTAATTGACATTACCTCATCATTTAACAGCTTTGTACTCAACTACTGTCACTGTATATCCTTCCTGTCTATGAAGGCAATACTGTTCCTCATTGTTTTTCATGTCCTGAGTAGTAAACAGTACAATCTGACTGATAGCATCCAGATCCAATGCATTTTAATTCACTAATATCTGAGATGTCAATATGTATATATAGTCCTTGTTGAATGACCACTCATTCAATATTTCAAGTTACGATGGCAATAAACTAAGGCAGGGGTGTCAAACTCTCGTCATCATGGCGGGGTCATGTGACGTATTGGGACTTCCCCCCTTTGCTAAACTGGCAGGGGGCGGGGCCAGCACGTGACGCATCTGGCCCGCTGGCCACGAGTTTGACACCTCTGAACTAAGGGATATTTATGGCTGGTCCTCAGAGTTGAGGTCATTTCAGCATACTCTATGGGCACATGATTGCAATTCAGATATTTGACAACTGATTTACAATTATGACAGTCACACCACCTGCTGGTCACATGATCACCATTTTCAACCTTCACTGTCAGCATCTGACAAGCAAAGTCAATGGGGAAGTTTGCAGGACATAGCAAATGGCAATCATATGACCACAGAATTGACTGTGCAGAATTCACGTAACAACAGCAATTGGAATGACAGCAACTACTTTCATAAGTTGATGTTATCATGTGACATTGTGCTTTATGACTATGTTACTTACCAATTATCACTGTTAAGTGAGGACTACTCATATCTGACTCCTTTAATATTTCATTTTATTGAGCTTTTCCATATTTATGCTTTAAAAGTTCCATATCCCCACTGTAATTTTGTCTTTGTAGCTTCAGATGACCTTTTCTGCCTAGTAATTTAGCAACCAGACATTCCAAAGGCTTTATGTTGAGTGCCATTTCAATTGAGGGTTCCATCATTCAGCAATGTATAAACAATTCATATTGTCTATCCATGTGCTTTTCTTAGTAAAATACAGGAATGGTTTGCCATTCTGCCATTCAGTTTCAAATAATAACTGTGTTGCTGTCACTAAAGTTATCATCTCACCCCAGCATACTTTTATACATATCTTTACCTGATACGAGTGTGTATTTGCTGTACCTGGCTACTTACTGGGAATACACATTTTTGACATATATTCCAGGCAAGCTTCACTTATCCCTCTCAGGAAACCCCACATCACCATGAAGAAGCACCATAGCAAGATTGGAGTTATTATATAATAATGTTATACAATAATGCATGTATCATTGAGACAGTAATCATGATAAAAATATTTTAAAAACTGAATCCATGTAATAATAATAACAGAACAGAATAACAGAGTTGGAAGGGACCTTGGAAGTCTTCTAGTCCAATCCCATGCCTAGGCAGGAAATGCTACATCACTTCAGACAAATGGTTATCCAACATCTTCTTAAAAACTTCCAGTGTTGGAGCATTCACAACTTCTGCAGGCAAGTTGTTCCACTGATTAATTGTTCTAACTGTCAGGAAGTTAGGAATGTATCAGTGCCATTTGAAGAGTATGTATCTGGCATGGAAATACATATTTATGAATCAACTGTTGTTAAAATCATTCATGGATCATTTAGAACATCATTTACAAAACATGACAGATGTCAACATTTACTAACCTAACCTAAACCAGCTAACAGTAACTGTGTATTAGATTTTCTCTCTGATCATGGGGAAAAAAACCTGAGACATGTCAGTCACGGAGATATCTAAACACATTTTGTTTTATTTCCTGCAGGCAGGGAAAATTGAGCATATTTTTGAGAGTGGTTTTTGTGTGTGAGTTACCTCTTTAATAGTCATCTGTTATAAGGATGAATAATGGAAAATAGTGCTTGAAATCCTTATATGCACTGCATGTAGATTTAGTAAATGATCTTTCCCCCTCCTTTTTCTGTATAGAACAAACTATAAAAGCAATTAACAAAAATCCCAGTAGTTACACTGTGACAAATTAAACATTCTGATAAATGGACTCTGTGTTACTATACTTAAAGCCACAAGGGGGAGCAAGTAACACACCTAAATATTTCTAACTACTTTTTTGTACAAGTTAGGTGAACTGTCTGGAGAGAAAATATGATGCTGTTTAAAACAACATAAATGTTTGGCTCTCTCTTTCACACACACAAATTTTATACATACAAAAATCCAGCACAATTGTTTTTCATTACTTCTAGAAATGAATTTCAGTTCACCTGGCTGGTAGTCCAGTTGATCTGTTCGTAAGTACTATATGAACAATGCGTTTTTCTCCAATGCAAGACCAAAGGAATAAGGCCATTCTAGATATTTCCTTCCTGCCTTTTCTTTCCAGAGAGAGTATTCTCAATGAAATGAACAGACTATAACTACATTTGACTCTCCATAAGGGAGTTTCTTTAGAAATTGGCACTGTCACAGCATGGTTAACTCTTGCCAATTCTCTTTTCAACACCTGGTAGCTTTTCTTTGGAGCAAAAGAAGCAGCTGTGTTTCGGGTATTCTGTGGAGAATTAATGGATGAGGGAAAAAAACCAATAGCACACAACTAGAAACAGACATTGGTTATAAGCCATTGGAAGAAAAAAGTCAAAGGAGCCATTATATATACTCACAATTTTTTATATTTTAATTGTACTGTTAGTTCTAATTCTTTGATTAAAAAAGAAATCTCTGGAGAAATACTTAGTGCAAACTAGAAGGAATCTGACAGTTTCTTTGACTTTTATATTTGATAAATTTCAATTATGTTATTAGCGATTCTTACATTCTTTGCCTTTTTGTATTCTATTAATTGGCTTTTTCTTTTAATAACCCTGTAATCACTTGCATCAGGGTGGAGTCTGGGCGACTGAATGGAATGAGCATTTACTGGCCAGATGTTCTTCCTGATGCCTATGCAGAGTTCACAGCGATATTTTCTCTTTGTGCCCAGAAAGAGAAATATCTGCCACTACCTAGAACCGTGATTGCGAAACTATGGCACGCGTGCCAGAAGTGGCACACAGAGCCATCTCTCTGGGCACGCCACCCATCGCCCGTTGCTCTTCTGGGTTCCGGTGACCAAATGCACGCCAGCCAGCTGGTCTTCACACGAGCATGTGCACCAGAAACCGGAAGCTCAGGTTTCCTGTGTGCGCATGTGCACCACGGAACTGCTCTTCTAGTTTCCAGCACTCCCATGCATACATGCCGGGAGCTGTTCTTCCGGTTTCTGGTGCTCAACCACATGCACCCCTGTGCTCCCATTTCGGCACTCGGTGCCGAAGAGATTCGCCAACACTGACCTAGGATCAAACTCACAGGCTCCTGATTGTGAGGTGAGAGCTTCATCTTTAGATCACCATGCTGCTCCAATTGATGGTATTCAGTACAACATATCAAATAATAGAAATAACAAAGTTATTGGAAACAAATAGCAGGCCAGAATCACTCAGCAGTGAGATGGATGGCACCTAAATATAATAAATAAATAATTACATTTACCAAAAAAAATGAAATTAACAAACATCTTTTTGAACAAAACAATAGTATTAGAACATGGCTTCGAACCTTAGCCTTCAGAAAATATAATTTCTAAATATTTTGAA